AAGTATCTCCTTCTAAACAATCTGCTCTAGAAATGATTTTGGAGGATGTTCTTTCTCTGCCCTGGGCTATACAGGAAGTTAGAGCAAGTGATCACAACAACCCCTGCCAGACTGGGAACATGTCAGTCTATGTACCAATGATTCTTGAGCAGTGGAAATTTTAAACTCAAGGCTGGATATTTGCTTAAAGAGAAGGGCTCTAGCTCAAGGAGGGATGAACCCAGGGCAGCCCCGGGCCTTACGTTAGGATGGAATCGATGGGACCTTCTGGCCACGATCCTCAAAGGAATTTAGGTGCACGGACCTATGTCTCTGCTGCCTTGCTTGCAGCCGCTTTCTCTGAAAACAGCCACTCCATGGGCAGTGGTGGTCAAAAGCAAACGTGTTAGGAATTGTTAAGACAGAGAGGAAGGCAGAACATTTTATTGCCTCTATAAATCCATGGTATGCCCACATCTTGAATAGTGTGTGCAGATGTGGTTGCCCCCTATCAAAAAAAGATAACAGTATTGGAAAAAGGTCAGACAAGGGCAATAAAAATAAGGGGTTTGGAACAACTGCCATATAAGGAGAGATTAATAAGATTAGAGCTTTTCCACTTGGAAGAGACAACTAAGGGGGGATAGGATAGAGGCCTATAAAATCATGACTGGTGTAGAGAAAGTGAATAAAGGAGTTATTTGGGAGTGGGGGGAGGTTACCAAATGAAATTAAAAGAAACACACACAATGCACAGTCAACCTGTGGAAATCCCTGCCAGAGGATGTTGTGAAGGCCAAGACTAGAATGGGATTTAAAAAAAAAAAAAAAAAAGGTAGATAAGTTCCTGGAAGGTAGGTCCATCTATGGCTATTAGCCAGGATGGACAGGGATGGTGTCCCTAGCCTGTGTCAGAAGCTGGGAATAGGTGACAGGAGGGATCACTTGACTCCCTGTTCTGTTCATTCCCTCTGGGGCACCTACCATTGGCCAATGTCAGAAGACAGGACGCTGGGCTAGATGGATTTTTGGTCTGACCCAGTCTGGCCATTCTTATGTTCTTAGTGTTGAGATTCCAGCCAGGCCCTCTATACGGTGTATTTCCAGCTGCACAGAAGGCCAGAGGATGGGGGAGGAGGCAGGGAATTCTGTATCTTTAAAAGCCTGCATATTTACAGGACGGAACATATAAAAGTAGCTAGAGATAAAAAGCAGATAAGGAAATACTTGGAAGAGGCAAGACATACCAATCGATTGGGTCCATCTGACACAGAGCCCAAGGGTAAAGGGATCAGCTGAGGATTTCAACACCTCAAGGGAGGGAGGGAAAGTAAATGCCAATGTTTGTTTACATGCCTGGGAACAGCCTGAAAAATCTGCATTATTTCTCTCCCCCCCCAAAAAAACACCCACTTTGGGGTGTCGGTGCTGCAATTTTAAAAATGTACTTCTGTAAAACAAGATAATGTTTTTAAAAAAGGATTCTTACTGCATAGTGTTAAAAAAAAGAGTCCAACAATTTTATGATGTGCAGGGATAGGGGGGATATGAACATTTCCTGAGCAAAGTACAAGCCTTCATTTTGAAGATCACGCTGACGGTGTTGAAAATTGGCATTGAGGGCTATGGAAGGCCAAAAGGGGACAGTGCAAATGTAGCACCAACTAATCTCCGCAACTCAACAGGACCTCTGGAGAGGCTGGAGAGCACATATCTTAGAGCCAGGGGAAGACAGAACCACAGAGAAAATTTTGGAAGTACAGGACCCACACCCACCCAGTGCCACATAAAAAACTGAGATTGATGAAAAATGAAAACATTCTAGGAGATCCCCAAAGATCAGAACCTCATCCAAGTTTTAGGGGTCCCCCAAGGCCTCATCCAGTTTCCAAAGAGCACTGGGAAGAGCCATATAATACCCACTTTCTGGTAAATTTTTTGTTGGAAAAAAATTCATTGTAGCTCAAGTTTCCCTCTGGGAAAAAACACCCACTTTGAGGCAACTCCTGTGGGAAATCCAAAAGATACCGTCCAAGAAGTTCAGAGCAGGCCAGCAGGTCGACCCAGCCCAGCTGGGACACCGCAAAACATGAATTACAGCTGGCTACCGATGCCCAGAGGGGAGAGGACCTGGGAAAGAGGAAATTCCAGGAGGGCACTGACCCAGGCAGGGCAAAAGGTCTGAAATTAGGACAGCAGCCAGAGTCAGCGTTTCCTGCTCCAATGTCTGCAGCTGACTTTGGGTTGCAGTCACCACAGAGGAAAATCAGAGACAAGATCAGAGGGTTTGATTAAACAAAGGGCTGGGCTCTGCTACTGCAGGGAAAGCAGGGTGAGGGAAGGCCGGCAAAGAGACTCTCGCCGGCACAGACCCTTGTCTGTGAGAGACGTCCCCGCGTATTTTAGGCCAGAAGGAAGGGACAGGAAGCTCATCTAGCTGGACTCCTGAAGGCCATGTGGCATAATTCACCCATATCTCCCTGGCTGGAGCCCACTAACTAGCAAGACTGTCCCAAAGGCAGCCCTTTGGAGCCTAAGTGTCTGAGCAATGGAGAATCCATCTCTCCCCTGGAGAGGGGCAACCATCTTTGGGAGCTCCTGGAGACACTTGAAAGACAAGATGCTCCCGAACAGTGTTGGCTCATCCTTTGTTCTGGCCTGCCCGACTCTTCCACTCCGGCTACCTGCATCACTCCCAGAACCCTTCTTCCAGTTCAGCCGCTCGTCAAAGGGTGCGGACCGGCACCTCCCCTCTCACAAACCGGAGACTCCAGCTGGCCAGGAGCACGTTTCCATATGGAGCCTGGACACCTTTCCCAGAGAGACAGCCTGGCACCTCAGTGGGCATGGCCGCTTTCTCATGCAGGAGAGTCCGCCCTTGCAAACCTGCAGAAGACGGGATCTGGCTCGTGCCCCAAACAATGGGTAAAGTTTCCATTTGGTTCCAACAACCCACGAGTCTTAACCAGCCAGAGATCTCAACGTGCTTTGCAAAAGGACTGTAACACGG